CTTGGTCTACATGCAATGGATTCATACACTTACAACAATTCTAGATTTTTTAACATATAATTTTTAAAAACATATTCATTTACTGACGACTTTTATTTAAAACAATCATAATAAATATTTTTTATTATTACTTTTTTATTTTTTAAGTTGATTATTTTAACGATCATTACTGATTATGATATAAAATTAATAATGTTTAAGGATTAAACCTTTGACATCTCAGTTTAAGATTGTTATAAATATCTTAATGACTTATTATTATTATTATTTTATATTTTTGCTATAAAAAATGATTTTAACAAATGAATTTAATGTTATTTAAGTATGTTCCTCATTAAATTAAAGTAATGTGTGTCTTGATTAGAGAATCTATTTATGTATAGTTTTTATAAGGGAGAACAACATTTTCCCGCCCAAGGTTTGATGAAACGACACTTTCCCACCCGTCAAGTTTCAAAATGACACTTTCTCACTATTTGTTAATTTTGTTAGTTTTTTTTGTTAATATTTAATTAAAAAGATAAAAATACATTTAAATAGTTTATTTCTTAGTTAGTTTATTATAAATTAAAATTTAGTTAATTCAAAGTTTTTATTCGATTATTTATTAGTCTAAGTATAAAGATACATTTTTTTCTTTGTTTATTTAATTAGTTAGGAATATTGATTTTTTATGTTAATTAGTAAAATGAAAAATATTATAAATAATAGTGATGTGATATTGATGACAGTATAAATAAATATTAAGATTATTTAACTTTAAACAATTTTATAGTATTACTCTTAACTTTTTAGATGTGTCTTAACTATTTTTTCTTTTTTGAATTTTTAATATTTGACTTTTTGGCTAATTAAAAAATAATAAGAAATTTATAAAGTAAAATATTTAAAGATATTTTCGTCTTTTCAGTAAAATATTAATGGAAAACATAATAGAATCTAACGAAAGGTGGAAAAGTATCATTTTGAAACTTGATGGGTGGAAAAGTATCGTTTCGCCAAACCTTGGGTGGGAAAATGTCGTTCGCCCTTTTTATAATTGAAAGTTTAGTTGCCTCTCTCTCAATTATTTAACCTTATATAGGCTACAATGATAATTGAATACGAAAATCTCAGTTGCAGTTGCACACATCTTAAATTAAGTTGACTCTTCACTTACTTATTAAATACAAAACCATTTCTTTAATTTCTTAAATTGCGTAGCTTCACCTTGAATACCATCTAATCTGTACATTTTATATTGACAAACTATTTTAGGGTGAACTATAATAAATGCCTACGGTTGATATTTGATTTTGACACCAATGACTCGCATGTGTAAAGTGTTAAGTGGACTTAAAAATTACACGTGATATGAAAATATGCAACAAGAGAATAAACAAGAGATAATTTTTAAAGTGGTTCGGATGCTAAAAAGCGAATCATACGTCCACTATATTTGTATTGATGGATGATTACAGTCAGGTCGCGGGTAGCAAGCTGAGTTACAATCTAAAGAGAGAATTTAAATACAGAGAGAGAGAGAGTCTGCTCTTGGAAGATTAAAAATGAACCGATCCCGTAAATGAGAGAGGAACCCTCTATTTATAGTTGAGGGATTTAAGATAATAATCATGATTTTGCAGTCGGACAGCTGTGATACAATTCCTAACCTGCTTCCCATTGGCTGACCGTACAGGAGATATCCTAAATCGCATAGAGCTTGGGCAGGTGGACAATTCCTAGCCACTCACAAGGCAGACTTTCACCTGCCACACTAACGACAGCCTTACCTCTTCCGTCCTTATGCGATGTGGTAGCGTCTGGCACTGTTTTAAAAACCGAACCGTCTGGTCCAACCTGTTGGACTGGGAACCGGTCACGTGTCCGGTTTGAGTCAACCCCAGAACCGCTTTAAACTGTTTGAAAACCGGATAATTTCAGTGAACAGTCGGTCCAACAGGACAGGCGGATAAATCGGTCGAAATTTTAAAAACCCCTAAATCCCTAATACGCGACGCAGCCCTTTCTCTGTTTCTCATCTTCTTCTCTTTCTCAGTTTCTTACGAAAATTTCTTAGCTTCTTCTCTGTTCTCTGCAAAAATTTATTAGCTTTGTCTCTGCAAAAATTTATCAGCTTTGTCTCTGCGAAAATTTCTCACCTTTTCTCTATTCTCTACGAAAAATTCTCTCTGAAGTCCCACCCAAATGGCAACTGAACTCTCTGAAATCGCCGACGATGTCTTCCTCCCTCGCCGGAAATCGACGAAGTCTTCCTCCCTTGCCGGAAATCGACGACGACAGCTTCGTTCCTCGCTGGAAATCGACGGCGACAGCTCCATTCCTCGATCCAGCTTCAATAATCAATAATGATTTCGTTACAAACTTAATCTGGAGCAATAATCAATGCGCCATGGCTTTAGTCATTTGTTCTTCAAAAAACTTTTGACTGTAATCGTTGTATTCTGTGTAGGCTTGGCTGTGGCTGGAGGCATTTAATTCACGATGCTTGTGTTTATCTTTGAGTTAGTTTGTTTATTGAGTAGCTGTAAGTCTACTTTGACAATTAATATCTAAATTTGATCTTTTTGTTGCATCTCTGTAATCACCCTTAACTGATGTTTGGGGAAATGCATGTATTATGTAGTTGTCCAATGTCCCATTGAATTTCTTTGTTTAGAGCATACAAAGGAGCCCTAATGCTCAAATATCTAGGATGTATTCTTCACCAGAAATTTAAGTGTCAGCTGCAAACAGGGGCGGACCCAGGCCATTTGAGAGTAGGCCTGGGCCTACCCTCAAATGAGTAAATAAAAATTTAAAAAATTTTACTTTTAATTTTATGGGATAACCAAATAATGCGTGTGAAGAATCCAAGAACAGAGGGCATTTTCATTTTTCACTACCATATTTTATGCAACAAAAACCACCGCAACTTTAATGATGCAAAAATGCCTCTGCAATACACCATCTCTTCCTCTTAACTCAGAAGCTTTTGCAGAAACAATTTAAGTACTCATTCCTAGCAATGATGTCCTTTGAAATTTAGTAAAAACATTCAACTTTGACAAGAATTCCTCCTGAAGTTTTACAGATTATCATCAAGAGTAAACTTTTAATATAATCAAACCCTTTCTGCAAATGACCTTTCCAATTTTCTGAAATTAAAAAAAAGACAAAAACTTATACAGATAATTGAAAGAATGAATCATTATTTCAGAACCAATAATTGTCAATTTTGTGCAACTTACAAGACTTAACCTTTGAACACAAACTCACGCTCGCTCTTCTCTTCAACTTCAACCTCTAAATTTGAAGGTATTCACTCTTTTCAATTGTTTCTTGCATGTTGGTTTCGAGAAAATGAGGTTGATTTTTCCACTTTTTTCTTTTAATGTGTTATTTTATTTTATTTTTGTGCTCTGAATTTTTAGTTTTTTCGTTTAACTGTTTCCTTGATGAGAAAATGAGGCAAAGTTTTGTTCATTATTATTATTATTTTTTTTTTACTGTCTTTATCTTTCGTAATTTTCTCTAAATTTATAGTTTTTATTTTATTTATGCTATTTTATTTTACTTGTGTTAGAATTGTGATTGGACTATAAATTTGTATGGAATATTTTTGGTAGATTGTGGTTGCTATGAACTCTTTTGATTATATTAGATTTAATAAATTGTTAGATTCTTGTGATTTTTTGCTCTCTTCGCATTTAAGAGATTTTTCCACATCAAAATTTTCTTGTGTTTCCTTATGAGTTGGATGTGATTTTACATATTTGCTTTCAAGGTTTTGCTTCTCGTAAATTTATTTAAGTAGGAAAGTAATGTGTTATTGCATCATTTTCTTTCAGCTTCTTGATATTGTATTATTTTCTTTGCTTAAGGTTTGATGGTTTTTTTTTAAGTTTTCAATAGTTAGTTAACAAACAACGGCGGAGCCGCGGAGGCCCCCCCTCAACATAAATCCTGGGTCCGCCACTGGCTGCAAAGGAAGTGGATACTTGTAACTTTTGTTGCACGACTACAATATGATCTGTCTGAATTTTATTTCTCAAGAGCAGCTACCTCAAATATGAACAGGTGTAAATATATATGAATTTTGTTTCTGCGCACATCAAGAGGAGAATTAGGTTATTAAGTTGATGGTTCATGTGCAAGTATATATCATCAGAAAGTTTTATTTGAATTGGAGACTTATAATGTTTATGAGGATTGGTGGTACTGTAAAAAAAATTGTTAATATGATTCCAAGCATTTCTATTTCTAGTGTGCATTAAGTTGGATATGAGGGATTTTGCATTGCTTAATGTACTCTGCCCATTAATTGCCCACATGAATGTGCACCAAAATATTGGTCCTAATAATTTTTGAATGCCCATAATATTTTCATGAATGTGCTGACATCATCATGATGTGTGATGATGTCACTAGTCTAACCAGTTGGACCGGTTGAACCGTGACTCGACCATTAGAGCGGGTTGTCCTCCAGTCCAATTTTTAAAACAATAGCGTCTGGATGATACAAAACCTTCCTGAACTTTGATTGACAATTGTTGACGTTAGCTTACGTTAGCCTTGATTTTTTAGACATAATACCTAGAAAATCAAATTATAAAAATAAAATAAAACCCGTTTTACAATCGTGGACTATTTTGGCTTTTTGGAACTCAAATAGGATATTATATTTACAAAATTACTCTTTTTAATTTTATTTTACCCTTTTCTTGTATAAAAAAGTTGAACATTTTCCATCTTTCATTTGAGACTTGGATTATAGTGTGTTTAAATAACCCTATTGTCAGAAATATTTATATTAAAACTCTAATAAATATTGATTGATGAGATAAAATGACATTAATTAAAAGAGTAATTTATGGCTTTTTCTTTTATTTTATTAAATGAATTGAAAAGCATGTGTGGCACATGCGTATGAGACATGAATTTGTCAGAAAGCAAAAACAAAATCAAACAAGAAATGATTATCCCAATCAGCAATCAGTCATATAAATCCGAATCCATCTCCGTTGTCCAAAACCACAATGTAATCAATTTCTCTTCTTCACGCAGCACCCTCCCGCCATTGTCCTCTCTTTCTCTCTCCACCGCAATGCTTTCTTTATCCCCCCACCACCACCTCTGCCTCCATTCACTTCCCAAACCCTTTCTTCATTCTCTTTTTTCACCTCCACCTTCACCTCTCCGATCCCTCTCTTTACACCCCGCCACCTCACTCTCTACACCCCTCTGCATTCAATCCATCTCCGCCACTGCTCACCCGGAGCCTGTCAACCCCTCCCAGTCACCCCCCTCTGATCACCGCCTCAAAATCGCCGTCATTGGCTTCGGCAACTTTGGTCAATTCCTCGCCAAAGCCTTCGTCTCTCAAGGCCACACTGTCCTCGCTCATTCCCGATCCAACCACTCCCAAACCGCCAAAAAACTCGGCGTTTCTTTCTTTCAGGACCCGCATGACCTCTGTGAAGAACACCCAGAAGTTATTTTACTCTGTACTTCAATACTTTCCACGGAAAAAGTTCTTAATTCCTTACCACTGCAACGTTTAAAGAGAAACACATTGTTCGTGGACGTTCTTTCGGTGAAAGAGTTCGCTAAGAATCTTTTACTTGATGTTTTGCCTCCTGATTTTGATATTCTCTGTACTCATCCCATGTTTGGTCCTCAAAGTGGTAAAAGAAGCTGGAAAGGCCTCAACTTTGTGTACGATAAAGTGAGGATTGGAGAGCAAGAGTCGAGGGTGTCACGCTGTGAGAAGTTTTTAGATGTTTTTGCGAGAGAAGAGTGTGTGATGGTCGAGATGAGTTGTTCGGAGCATGATCTTTTTGCAGCTGGGTCACAGTTTATGACGCATACAGTGGGGCGAGTGTTGGGGATGTTGGAATTGGAGTCTACGCCGATTAATACGAAGGGATATGAGGTTTTGTTGGATTTGGTGGAGAATACATTTGATGATAGTTTTGATTTATATTATGGTTTGTTTATGTATAACAAGAGTGCGCTTGAGAATTTGGAGAGGCTTGATTTGGGATTTGAGGCGTTGAAGAAGGAGTTGTTTGGTAGTTTGCATGATGTGGTGAGGAAGCAATTGTTTGGGAATGGAAAGAGAGTGCAGAGGCGTTTGCAGGAGAGTTCTGGAAATGGGATTGCATTGGGAGTTGATAAAGTTCGTGTGAGGTCAGATAGATTTTTTATTTTGGTTTTGTGGTTGATTTGATTCTTGAATATTCCTAATTTAGCTTTATGAAATTTTTACATTTGATGTGTTTTTAACAAATTATGTGTAAGATAATTTTAGGTGTATTAGGGTTCATGGTTTCTGATTTTGGTGAGATGTGCGGTTTGTGTTTGAAGTATTTAAAGCCTAACACTGTCAAGATCATGGATTAACTTGTTAGTAAAACAAGAGGTGAAGATAAGTCTTTTATGAATTTCAGCTTGTCGAAGATAAGCTGAATTATGTATTCTCACTGAGACTGGTAATTATGGATATATTACAGATTAACAAGACTAAAAAACTTGTTGTGCTTGTCTCGAAATCATATTGATTATATACTTATAAACTTACTTTGGCTTCTACAGGTCGGAAGGAGCTCTTCAGTCACATGAATACAAAGCACAGGCTTCTGATGGTACAAATGACAGCTCAAAGCTAAAGGTTGCTGTTGTTGGATTTGGAAACTTTGGTCAGTTCCTTGCAAAAGCAATAATACGTCAGGGCCACATAGTTCTGGCCTATTCTCGAACAGATTACTCTGATGTGGCTCGAGAAATGGGGGTTTCTTACTTCTCTGATGCAGATGATCTTTGTGAAGAGCATCCAGAAGTCATTCTTCTTTGTACGTCAATTCTGTCAACGGAAAAAGTTCTTAGGTCACTGCCAGTTCAGAGATTGAAGAGAAGTACTCTGTTTGTTGATGTACTCTCTGTAAAAGAATTCCCTAGGAATTTGTTTCTTAAATATTTGCCACCATATTTTGATATTCTTTGCACACATCCTATGTTTGGACCTGAGAGTGGAAAGAATGGGTGGAATGGTCTTCCTTTTGTTTTTGATAGGGTCAGGGTTGGAAATGATGAAGGAAGAGTATCAAGGTGTGATGCATTTCTTGATATATTTGCACAAGAAGGGTGCCGAATGGTGGAGATGTCTTGTGCGGAACATGATTGGCATGCGGCAGGGTCGCAATTCATCACACACACAATTGGAAGAATTTTGGAGAAGTTGGGGTTAGAGTCGACACCAATTAACACTAAAGGCTATGAGACTTTGTTGAAATTGGTGGAGAATACAGCTGGGGATAGCTTTGATCTTTATTATGGTTTGTTCATGTACAATGTAAATGCAATGGAGCAGCTAGAGCGGTTGGATTTGGCTTTTGAATCATTGAAGAAGCAGCTTCTTGGTAGAGTGCATGGTGTTCTTCGAAGGCAACTGTTCGAGAATGCAGAGACATTCACTGATATGAGGGAGAAGCCGACAGCACCTAAGCTTTCTCAAAATGGTACTGCACATGAATCTTCCTTGGAGACTGTTAATGCGCAAAAGAATTAAGCTGGTAAGTAGTATGTGTATTTGTTTTATTTTAATCAAGTACTCCGTTTATTTATTTTCTGTTCATTTTATATATTTTCATGGTATGTTTGTCATATGGATTCAACTTTTTTAGATGTAAATTTCTTGTGCACATGAATCATCTTGGTCAAATCTATTTTACTTTGAGCCTACCTTCATCATTAATAACTGTCTCCAACTTTTTAACGAGTATTACTGTTATTGTTTTTGGTTGTGTTTCTTTTTGTTTTATTCTTTTTTTGAGCTAGGCTAGTTAAATTGGTTGCCTGATAAGGTTAACTGCTGGATTTTATTTACTTGGATCTATGTGATTTTATCCATCATGGAACTTGGTCACTTGTAGGAATGTGAAGTTGCATGAGTTCAATCATGTCTCACTGATCTTTTTTTCTGTTATAATCATTAAAAAATGTGGTTTTAATCTTGTTTGCTAATTGTTTTCTAGGATTCCCTATGAGTTTCTTGGTATTCTACTAAATTGGTCAGTTCACCTTCAATGGACACCAAGGTGAAGAAGACACTAGTGCAAGTTTGCCAATTTATGCACTGCATTAATATTCTCAAGGATGGAAAGTGAGGCACAATCAGCAATGGATGCATTTTAATTTTGAAGCTATTTGATTCAAGTGAAATATGTTGTAAAGAAAAGATGAAGGCTGGAGAAGAGAGTGGCTTCAAACGGTTGGAGAAAGCCACAATGGTCTGATGTCGTGGAAGGTATTTGACCAAAATAACAAATGATGTTAGATATATTTAGAAATGTTGGATTGTTCCTCCTTTTCAGCTTCTGAGGAGTTTGTGTTGTCTTGCTCCCTTCAATCAATAGGTCAGGTGTTTATTTTATTTCTTAATTGAGTAGCAATCAGAGCTCCTTTGATGTTTGTTGTATCTTGTATTTGATCATTCTTTCGTTACTCATTCCTTCTCTATGTAAACTATTCTACTTAATGTTAGAAAATGTCTCACTAGCTAGGGAATGTTGGCTGTTAATTTTAGGCAGCTTGTATCAGAAACTAAAAAATCCACTAATAAATTTCGGGGATGAATTATTTCGTCAGTATTATGCGGGCTTTGTGCAATGCTGCGGGATATAGAATTATTATGATTCTCTCCTATTTATGCAAAAGTTCTCCTTTTTCAAGTTGCATGTATGATATATGGTTAAGATTAATTTCTCTTTTAATTGTTTTTATCAAACATGATACAACTTTGATCAAGGAAGAATCCCCATTTGTTTGTCTCTAATTTTGTAGTTATTTTAATTTTAATGTCTTGTTTCTCAATCTTCATTTCATTGAACAAATATTAGTAATTAGAACCATGATTTTCCGCAAAACATGTAAGGGAAATTTGAGAATTTGTCCTGTAAATGTATTTCAAAATTTTCATATTTATTAAGCGTTAATACTTTTACACCCCCTAGAACTCGTAAAACTACTTATATCCAGTAACAAATATGGGAGTGGACTGAATTTGACCAAAATACAGTTACGAATAACCCTAATTATATAATTAACTTGACTAATTTACCCTAAAAATTATTAACAACTCAATTTTAAATAAAAAAAGGTAAAATAGCTAATAAAGATTTATAAAATTCTTAAATAACACAAATCCTTAACCTAAAATCAGAAATACTAAATAAAAAAAGAATAAAGAAAACTTTGGAGGATTTTGAAAAATTAAGAATACTTAAAAAAAAATAATACTAAAAAAACCTTAAATAAAATAAGAAGCTAAAATCTAAAAAATATTTGCCAAGTTCAATTTTTTTTTTTTTTTTTTTGTAACTTTTCAAATTTGTATTAACTTTTAAAAAAAAATTTAAGTAAGTTTTTCAATTTTTGATCATTTCTTTTTATTTTTTTAATTTCTTATTCTTTTCAGTATTCTAGATTATTTTTTCATTTTCCGATTTTTTTTCCATTTTCCGGACTTCTTTATTTCCCAGATTTTTTTATTTTATTCTTTTTTTCTATTTCCTTATTATATTGTAATATTTTACATAATTTAATATTTTTTTAATCCTAACATCGGTGCTGAGGGCTGAGTTGGAATTGATGGGCATAGAAAGTGATTTACCCATTGATTGTTAAAAATAACCAAAGACATTGACAACATGGGGTTGAGAGAGTACATACCACATGGATGTTGAGAGTAACTTTAGTTTAGTGCCATCCATAGGGGGTTTATGTTGATTTAGGCCAAACCTAATCCCACAGTGTACACAATTTTTTGGAACGTGGTAACCCAAACAGGATAAACCACGGACCTAAGTCATCACAAAGAAAAGCACAAATTCACTATGAGTTAATCATACAACATGCACATGATAACAATAAGATAGGTACATCTTCCACAACTTTACTTCTCACAATTATCTCCAACGCAACCCATTTGACAACTCGTATTTGGTCCGATGGAACCTATGCGAGTTGATACAGTTGTTTATGAGAAAGCTAGTGAGAGAGTTAGTCTACTATATTTATTGTTCACAACCCTCTGCCAGATTTGAGACTTTACAAACCAAACTCTTCAATCACGACCTTCTATGCAGAAATTAAGCACTTCACTCACTCACACTCCCAACAAAACCACTATTCGAAAGCTTTGAGAAGGTTTCTCCCCTTGAAACTCTCTCTAAGAGCCTCTCAAGTTTAGTTTAAGTTTATTATCGTACAAACACTAAGACTGAAAACTAATCTTTCTAACTATACTAATCTATCTAACTTTGACTTTACGTGAATTGTATGCACTAATTGTGGGATTTCTTTCCACTTCCATTAAGCACTCATTTTTATAGTGTTATTATTCACTCCTCCAATTGTTCTTTAACAATGTGGAATATTGAACTCAAAATCTCTCAAAATTCGCTATGGTGAACAGTTTTTGCTACAACGAAGCCAAACTTACTACGTGAATTAATAGTTAGCTACTGAATTTGACAGCAATTCACCAACTCTCGAATCCAAATCCCAACTTTCATCCTCACTTAGATCAATCTCCTAATGACTCAAATGATCAAGTAAATAGTCCTAAACTTATTCGGTCAAATATAAACCTCATCTAAGCTTTATTCTTCACCTTTCTAAGACTTTCAAACAATTCTGTAAACAAACTACTTCTCCAATTCATTTGTTCTACATAACGTTCCTCATTCTTAAGCTAAACTAACCTATTCACTTATATTCCAAAATTTAAACTTCAGTTATTAACCTCAAATTTCCATTTATTCATTCTGAACTTCTCTTCACTTAATATCTGCTTCCATATTGATTATCCATCTTGTCTTTAATAGTTCTTCAACGATCTTCAATAGTCTTCATCAGTATCCTTCAACTTAAGACTTCGCTTAGACTCGAAATGACTCAATATTGACATTAATACAACTCTTTGTGTTTCCTCACATCACTCTTATGAGCATCGTCATCATGTATCTTTACTACAAAGACACTACTCATACATTACATACTGTAGCATATTGACTCCCTTACATACAAAGATATATACTGACAAATCAAGCTTGTCACCTAATGACACATGTACAGTTCTTCACAATTCTGTTCACTAAGACCTTCATATTACATATATAATAATCAGTAATATTATACCCACTGTAATGTTTCTTCTTGTTTTCAACAAGGCTCCTAATGCTCAATCAATAAGTACTTATCCTTTCTCCATATATTGTAGTTCATTTTCTGATATAGTACATAATACTTGGCAACAATATATATTAGCTTCAAAAAAGTAATATAGAAAAGTGTTTACTTACTCATGTATTGTTCTCTAACTTTACTTTGTTCTGCTCTTCCTCTCCTATGCATCACTAGATATATTTCTCTTCAGATAAACCGTTGATCCAACATTCCTTAGTCATGTTCATGCTCTGTTCCTATTACATATGTTCTCTCAAACATACTCATAACATGCTTCTCTAACATTTCATATGTACCAAACATACTTCATTAATAATATCTAAAGTGAACAACAGTAGATAAACAATGACTCTTTTAATGAGATAAAAATAAAAGAGAGGCAGTTTCATAGTAGGAGATTGATACTGCAAGTGTTTGAACAGCTGATTACAATTGAGGTTGTTTATCATGGGCTTATTCTATCATTTCGGAATCTAAAGTGTTATTTTGACTAAGGCCCTAATGGAATTGACCTAATAATATGCTTCCCATCTGTTGGATTTACAATTTATCAAAAGCTAACATGTGTAACAAGTTGTTCTGTTCTCTTTCCCAACAGATGATCTAGAATTAATACATTTATTTTGATTTCAAATTAATTGCTACAATACAGCATCTAACTTGTGTATAAAAAAAGATTTAGACACACAAAGAAAGCTAAATTATTGCAGCTTCAATTGGCCTCCTACCTCGCTGGTAATATTGAAAATAGATACTAACATAATCTTTCACCTTCTTGTACAATCTTGGCCTTGTCTTATCAATTAATCCATTCACTGGTTCAATCTCTTTATCTGAATTTGGAATAAAGAACACTGCCAGAGAAATTCTTTCCCTTTCTTTATTTGTCACCACTCTGTGCACAGGGCTCTTGAAAATTCCATTGCTCATTATCTGCATGCATCATGTCAAACTCAATGAGTTGAAATTTTTTGCAGCCCGCAACAATAAATCAAGAAAATTATAGAACAACAAAGCATGTTTTGAGCATTCTAGAGCGAACTCAAATCCTATACAATAAGCATGGTTACCTCTCCCTGATCCCCAAGATTTATGACAAGAGCTTCCGGAATGACCGGAACTCTGTACCATTGATTGTCTTTCTGGACTTGGAGACCTTCCACCTCTTTGTCTTGCAAGAGAATGGTGAGTGCTGTTCCATCTGCATGAGGCTTGCACCCAAGAACCGTATCAGGCCTCGGACATGGAGGATAGAAGTTGAATCTTGCAATTATTAAGGCTTGTAATTGTTCTCCAAACATATCCAAAAAGCTGTTCTCTTCCAAATTTAATGACCCCGCCATTGCCTTAAGGAGAACCTCAGTCATCACCTGTAATTTCAAAGTGTATTCATTTAAAATTTCCCTGCATCAGTCACAACAAACAAAAAAGTTTAATTCTTTTCACCAACAAGGGCTCTCTTGCTAATGTTGTTTCCTTTTGCAACTATCATTTTTCCGTCACAGATTACTACCTAGGAATGTGACATTGTTTCATTTGTCATAGTGATTAATTGTTTGCTTATGCATTATATGATCTTCAATATAATACAGCACAACTAAATTACCTAAATGTTTCAGGGTATTCCGGCCAGAATCTGAGTTGTCTCCGTTCTTGTGGATTTACAGTAAGAAACAATCGATCACTCCAATCCAGTGTCTGATTCTCCGTGATGATCATGTCATTCCCATATCCCTCAGTGCTGTCATCTTCTCTGTGGTATTTCTGCTTCGTTTCTTGAGGAAGTGCAAAGAATTGCTTGGTGACTTCACGTACTTTGTCTAGATATGTAATTTCTATTCCATGATTCACTGCCTGCAACTCAAATGTTCTGAGTATAACCTATTCAAGTTTAACATAATAAAAACTAGAGAGATTCATACAAAGAAAATTCTGGAAGAATAAGTGATTACTTTTTTTTCATTTTTTTAGTTTGATCTTCTAGAGTTGTAAGTTACTTTTTGTTGACATTGTCAAGCGAACACAAACTTCTGAAAGTTTCATACTACAGCTAATTGAGCTGAATTCTTGATTTTGCATTACGTGTATATATGATTAATTATTCAACAAATCAAGAGTGCAATTGTGCGAGTTCTTGACAGTCTCAATAGTATTTTAAAATTTTATTCTGGGTCGGTAACAGGACAGTAATTTGAGAACTCTCAAATCCATTGGTACCTAAGGCTGATTATTACTGGTCAGTCTATGTACCTTAATTAGTACCTAATTCAATTCAATTGATTTTCCAGAATGTTTAATTTTCTTTTGGCAACCATTCTATCATAAATCTCCAAGGGCTGCTTCATAGGGTAATGTCATCCCTGTGAAATAGCAGTTCCCTTCGTTGAGACAGACAAAAACACTTTCCAGGAAAGGAAAAAAAAAACATGAACACTTACAATGCTTCTTAAGGAAGCATTTAAGTGCTTTTAAAAGTAATTGTACTCTTCCAAAACCAAAATAAAGAGAGCTGCAATGGAGGATGCCCTGTTAACAAAGAGAGGCAAAGGAGGAAGCCGTGATCACTGATGAATATCCTAAGTAATTTTAGTAATTGAGATGGCCAAAATTTAGGTATTTTTAGAGTAGCTTCGAATAAACTTCTGCTTCTCAGCCTATACAAAATCACATATAGAGCATAAAGTAAAATCGAGTATGTGAAAGAAAATGAACCGCTTTTACAATCTAATATCTTTAAAAATTGAGAAGTGGCAAAACAAGACCTGGAAAAAGCCCCACGAGCTGAGAGCTGAACGAAGCTTCTCAAGTTCTTCTATACAGGATGATGGAGACGTGAGAAGACCAAAATCAATAATTGGAACCTCCATGAACGGAAGAGAAGCATCAAGGAGTCCAACATCACTGCCTTTGTAGATATAGTTTTGTGGTAAATCTTGGTCACTGATGCTCAGTTCTTGGACACTTTTGGCTCCCATGTTGCTTCGGAAAGGCAGCAGTTCTTGGATAGTTTAGACTGAGCTTGAGAACCTGGTGATTGCTGTAAGTCAATACTAGGTTTGTGTATATTAACGGCATTTCATATACATATATTGCAAATTGTGTTGTGGGGGGTTCAAACCTCAAATTAGTTTTACGTCATTGATGATTCGTTGTATTTATATTTTAATAGAATAAATATCTTTTGCTGAGCTGCGGTGGCAACCAGTTTTTATGGATAGAATAGAATAGAGTGTCAGCTGACGTGACAAGTCACATAACACTTTACACATCAGCATCTTTTAAATATTTAATATTTAATTAATTATATTAATTAAAATATTTCAATTAACCTAAATTTAAAAAATAAAATAAAATTTGATTATACTAAATCAAAAATCTGTTCCAATCCTTCAGCTTCGTCTTGTTCTCTTCTCCTCCTCTTCCTTTCTTTTTTGTTTCCCAATCTCAACCGCACCACCACCGTTTATCCTCTCCCACCACCACTTGCAACCGCATCGTCACTATTGAAGAGGCACTGCCAAAGTGCGGCCCAATCACCAATTCCTTGCCTCCCGCAGCACTGCCAGCCACGCCAACCACCAATCCCTGGTTTTCTCTTCCTGACATTTTAGTTTTTTCTTCTGTTTTTTTTTTTTTTTTTTTTTTTTTTTTAACTCTCCATCAAAAATACTCATAAAACATAATTAATTACAATCCTTCAACTCCAAATTCGCCAAGTCTAATTTCTTAAGAAAAATAATAATAACTGAAGAAATAAAAAATTTTATATTGTTATATCCAGTCTAACAAATATTATTACAATTAATACTAAACAACCTAGTTAATTAATTGGAGAGAAATTCATAGATTCAGTTTAACAGATTAATTATACTGGATATCGATCGTCTTGAATAGATCTTTTTTTTTTTTGTTTCGAGTATACAAGTAAAAGTAAACAAGAGATCGAGAGAATTTTCAAAACTGAAAATATAACTTTCTCTGATAACATGTACAAGGCTTCTCTTTATATAGAGAAGTCCGATTTCAAAATTTTTGAATCCGTGAATATTACAAAACATAATGTCAATCAAAACATATGTGATTTGACTTTAGCTAAACAAAACCTACACAGTAACTTAAAGAAAATAAGAACATAAAGAAAATATGACATAGGTCCTATGTGTCTCCCCTGTTTAAAACAAACTAAATTATTACATTACACATGTTATTTACATTTACACGTGTTATGACACAAAAATCAAGATTGCTTTAAATATCCTGCGTTAAATTTTGTCAGCAAAATCTTGATGGTCCACGTATTATTCCGGTTGGATACACGTCAGCGTAGTACGTGTTGGACGTTTCCGGTTGTCCAAATTCCATCCTCCAGATTTTTATCAATCCTTGAGTTATCCACTTCGATAAGATCAATAAAATCTTTTAGAGAGTCATCTTCTTGGGCTTCCGGTCGTGGGCTAGGACCAACCTTAGAAGATCAATAGTACCTTCCCTTAAGGCCTGCTTCGGTAGATGGGCTAAATCGAACCCTTCTAATAGCGTTTTCAACTGGGCCTGATTATGCTGAAAAAGTGTCCTGGATCAATGCTACCTGTCTGGTATAACTACCACAATTCCATTCTGATATGGACAGTAGCATTATCTCTCACGAGCTTTCCAGTTTGGATTTACACGTAACATTTTAGCAATGTGTAACCTGGTCCAATCTTCCTCTTCTTTCTTCTGAATCTTCTAGTGCAAAAGAACCAATTTTTACTCCACTATGAGCATAATTCGGTACATGGTTCTCTACAAGAAATTCCCATATCTGTACAGGCTGAACATCATAGCTCTCTTGCAATGAGGAAGTAATCATGCAAGTGAAAGTGTCAACTTTCCGTATCAATACACAGAGCGTTTGCTTAACCATTGGTATATTCGGATCCACCATCGCTTCCTGATGTCAATTTGCATTGTGTCGATCCATATTTAGTCAAAGATCTCTACAGAAACCTTTTCTAAAGATTTTCCATGGAACGAACATCCATAGCTCCATTAGGATAAACTGCTAATCCTTGAACCCCATCCGTCAAGTCGTTTTTCCAATTTCACATTAATTTATTCAAATTCTCGAGTTTGAGTTTTGATATGTCAAAAAATGACATTTTCTCATTACCTCAAGTTTTGAATTCCTGCTTCATAGAGTAAAGCAGTTCCTGAATCCTCATCCTCATAGAACAGTTTGTAGTTCCAGCCATGCTAACCTTCTGCTAGCTTTTCTAAACACCTCTGCAGCTGTACTTCCCCTTGTCCTATCGCATCGCGATCTAATTTGGTTTTCAGATTCTCCCAGAGTGTTTGACTAGCTGAAGTTAATCTTATGCTTCTGGAAAGCTAAACCTCTCAAAAATCTGCGCGTCCATCACAGCTTTGTTTGTGGAGTATGTGGAGTCACCACGCTTGTAGCGCCTGACGATTCCTCAGAAATTTTTATCTTGACAGTGGACAATTAGCCCGTTCATGTCCTCTGCTTACAAGACCAGCAAACCTTTGCTTTTTCTGAGTTGTTTTCTTCTTAAGAGTAACCCTCTTTCAGACCCTTCATAGAAGTTTCACCCTGCAATCGTTGAAATTTTGGGTTTCTTCTATCCGAAGTATCAGAATCATAGTCACGATTCCTCCCTTCAACCTGCTTTACCGCAGTAACTGCTGAAGAAGAAGCCACCTGCTTATCCGCAGTTTTCTCCTTTTTAGCAGTAACCTTTGAAGTAGAAGTAAACCAAAGGACAATCCTTCTCAAATGTCCCCGTGCTTACACTGGAGCTGAGAAGTGATTTCCAGTTTCCTTCTTGTCCGCCATTATCCTGCAATTCCTCTGCAAAATGTCTAGACAAAAAGTCAGCAACAAAATGCCATCTGATTAGTCTAGCTTTGTCATCCTTTAAAGACAGTTTCATAAAAGTTTTATATTTAAAGTCTGTCCTTAAAGTAAATTCCTGACTGATTACGAACAATCGAATCGGTCAATACATTCTTTCGCTGCTAAAACTTCCTTCTCATGGACAGGATAGTTTATTTCAGCGGGAGAGAATTTTCCTGACGCATATCGAATAATTCGTTCAATATTATCAGTACTTAGCCTTAAGCACACCTCCCCAATACAAGTAAGATGCATCAATTCTATAATGAGTTTATCCTCATCTTCCAAGAGTTTTAATGGTTTAATTGCTTTGTCAAGGCCTTGCCGCTTAACCAATTAGTGTCTTCAGTGTCAAACCTAGGGCACTTTATCACTAACTTTAAGCGTCAAGCCATTAATTACATTAGCGAGATTAGGAACATACTCGCGCATGTAATTGGCTAATCCCAGAAATTGCTGTAACATGTGCTTATCTTCCAGCACATCTGGAATTCCAGCAACTTCTTTGAGATATGTTCTTAGAGTTGAATACCTCCTTCACCTATTCAACGCCTAAGAACTTCACCTTGTTCTTAAACCATTCTACCTTTCTTTCAGATAGAATCATTCCATTATCAAGGAACCTTTTGCCACCAGTCTAAGATGATTTTCATGTTCTCCATGGTTTTACTAAAAACCAGAACATCATCAATATAGACTACACAAAAGTTAGATAAATCTCTAAAGATTTATCCATTTTCCTTGGAATTTGATGGTGCCTGCTTAAGTCCAAAAGGCAGAACCATCCATTCAAACAACTTTCGGACAGGTGAAAGCCGTCAAAGGAATGCTTGACTCCTCATTCTGATCTGCCAGAAACCTGACTTTAGATCAAATTTAGAGAAGATTTTCCAAATCTAGCTTTATCAAGCAGCTGATTTGTTTGGTATCTTATAAGCATCGTCAATGGTTTTTTCATTTAACTGCTATAATCGATAACCATCCGCGCTTTACCTTTAACTGCTACTCTATCATAACCATGATGCTGGCAAAGATGTGGACTTTACTGAGGTATCAATTGCTTTTCCAGCAATTCCGGTATTTGTTTATGAATCCTCCTCTGCATCAAGAGTGTAAGGATAGGATTTTTATCATCCTTCCTTTTCAATTCAAGTGAAGCATATATACCGTTTTTCCCATAACTTTAATGGTTGATCATCAAAGCATGGAGAAGTCTTCTTTAAAGGATTTTTAAGTTCCCAATCCTAAAGAGTTCTTTTGGCTCTCGTTTTCAACTTCAAGATTTTTTCCTTATGTATGAAATATACGCGGCTCTCAAGGCAGCACCAGAGGGATATCCTCCTGCGATATCCTCGTGCGATCCGTGTGATGTAACTAGGATATAACCTTTAAAAGAAAAAATTACAAGCCTCCCACTTCTTCTGCTTCAGAAGATTTCAACCACCATCCTGTGTTCCAAAACCTGGAAAACAATGTGATATCTTCTTGCCTTAGTTTCACGGTCTAAAACCATTTCTCACTTTTGAAACTTCAGGCTTAGCAAGAATAGGGATTATGTCCTCCTAGGATAATGTGGCGTTATCCTAAGTGAATGGCCTAACTTTGCTTGACCTCGCAGAAAGCTATTTCCGAGAATAAAATCTACCTCCAAGTAATCCATCACTAGGACTTCTTAGGTGAATTTTTTTCGTTTAACAGTACAACCACGTTTTCTACCACATCGTGTCATACTTTGACCCCCATCTGCAACCGTTTTAGGTAGGTTTTTCCAATGGTTTCCAAAGCTCTTGTGGAAAACATTGCTTCCTTGCAATACATTTGGTTGCTCCTGTGTCTACAAGAATATCCAGAGTATATTCCTCATATTCTGGAAAACACAGTTTAGCACATATGCATGTGTCAATAGGCCCTGAACACGCATGACAATGCTTCATGACTCATCATTTTCGTGCTTGGAGTTTTCTTCTTCATATACTGGGATTTGCACAGATTTATACCCAACTATTTTCCTGCTATTGCTACTCCAGCATCACTAGCAGTATCATCTGTTCCAGTATATTTTCCTTGATATAATAGGTTGAATTTCCTTATTCCGCTCTAGAGACATCGAGTTTCTAGGCGTAGGAAGAGTAACCTCAACCTCATTATCAAGTTCCTGGATTTGAATCCCGATTTGGGTTTAATTCCACCCTGCTGGGCTGTGTAGAATATTCCAAAACCCA